TGTTATGTAAGGTGTGTGCCAATGTATGGAAAGATGAAAGAGGAGAGAGGAGGAGGTAAAGAAGGAAAAAAAGATGGAGAGGAGAAAATGTAATTAGAATTACAAAGAACTCTGAGTGCGTTTTACATTTTCAGATTATCTACTGGAAATTGGTATGGACTATTTTAGATCTTATGTATAAACTGAATCTAAGAATTCACCGTTTATTTAGAGAACTCGCAGACCATGAAAAACACCCATAATGTTGAGGCCGAGTTCCACGTAACAGTGCACTACCGGGGTGCGCAGAAGGACATCGACACACAGCAACAGTCACAGCAGGCTGGCCTTTTTGGGCAGTATAGTGAAGTGTGACCCCAGCCTAAAACTATTTCAGAAATGTTGATTGTGGGAGGGGAATACAGGACAAATAGCTAACAAGCCAGCACAAATGCACACGCATAAAACACGGGGCTTTTGATTGACGGTCGGTAATTGCGGCTGACTCCTTCACAGAGGGGACGTCTGGTCTGACACAGTGAAAGGACAAAGGTTAAACGACAGCATCTTCGCTGTCTTTCTGGCTCCGTTGTCCTCTCTGCACCACCCCTCTGCTCTTTCTCTCTCTGCCTTTATTCTGTTACATGCTCGTGTCTATTTCTTTCCCTGCCTCTCTGTTTGTCCCTTATAGCTTGCGCCCTCCCTCCTCACTTTCTGTCTGTCTGTCTCCCTGTTGGACGGAGCTGATTGGCTGGATTTCTGTCTGTATCGCCAGGAGGGGGCCAATGAGTGAGCAGATTTTCCCTGAGTAACCGCCAGTGGTTGACTAACGTGTCTAGTGTCTAGTGGAAAGAGAGACAAGAGGCAAGGGCAGACGTGTCATAATAAAATGCTATTGTTTTAAGAAGAAGAGGAGCAAAGAATGAGTTTGCTTATCGGATGCTGAAACAGAATCTATTTCCCCGTCATCGCGCATCTACAAAGAAACCACTGTACTCAGACATTCCCACACATTAATACACACACACACATCCATGCACACACCTACAATTAGGAAGGGATCCATTGCCCTACTGAGTAGGGGGGTTGTTGCTAGGCAACCTCTATTTCTAAGGTGAAAAAGACAGTGCTGAGGGAGAACAGTGAGCGATACAGAGAAAGGCAAGACAGAGTGAGGGAGAGGGGGAGATAATGAGCGTCTGAAACCAGAGGGGTTGACCACAGGAAACTCACACTTAATCATTCAAACCACATGCAAATGAAGACACACAAACAAGCACTTTTCTCCTCTCTCTTCCCATCTTCTTCTCTCTCTCCATCTCATCCTTTCATGTGTATATGTATGATGAGGATATGAGGGCTACAAAACAAGGGTGATCACGTGGACAGCTGCACAGAGCGGATATTTGTATGTCAATATGTAGTGAAGAGATGCATTAGTATTGTACTCAAATGTTTTTTGCAGGTGATAGCGTTCCTCAGAGTGCCTGTACAGATGTGTGTGTGTGTGTGTGTGTGTGTGTGTGTGTGTGTGTGTGTGTGTGTGAGTGTGAATGTTCATGTGAAGGGAGCTTAAGCTGAACAGTATCAAAATATAGAACAGAAATCAGACCGTCTTGCACACTGTCATTGGAAGGCATTGCTTGGTTTCTTCTTACACTCCACTCAACTAATGCTTGGTAAGAGCAGTGTGCTGACTCAGCCTTCTACTGGGAAGTGTATTTTGGTTTTGTGTCCTGACAAATGTGCAGCACACTACAAGTGGCTGTCTAATAGAGTGTCTAGTGAAAATAATTTCATGGTGAGGAAGCAGTCATTCTTGCCCACCGTGTTTAGGAGTATTTTGCAAATGTCTTCGCTTGAGTCTGAATACTGACTCATATAGCGCTCTAGTTCAAAATCAATCAATTGTTGTCTAAGGGATCAAAAGCTATGTTTCAACAAACATTATGTAAAATCTTAAAATATATACCAAACATAGAGTAAGATTTTAAAGCAGTATAGACAAGCAACTCTTTCCTGGATGTAGGACCAGCAGCCGATGTGCATGGCACTGCAATCTCCGGATTTTCTTCTTAATTATTTGACTGATCATCTTCTATATAAATTATAAGAATATTATGCAAAATGACAGTTATAATCTTCATAAGAACTACTGAATGAGTACAAAACTCAAGACTGTGTTTATAAGCTGTATGAGCCAAAACAGAGACCAGATCTTCTATTGGTTTTGGGGGTGGAATTTTGGAGAATGAAATCTACTCAGACTACTCAGATTATTGAAGGCTTGCTGGGTAGAACTACTGGTGGCAACAATGAAAAAAAAATATTGCTGAGTAGATATTGGGCCTATTTACATGCCTTTGGTGTCTCTAACTTAGAAGATCCATGATTACTATGCAGCATTTCATAAATCTGAAAATAATGCCAGAAAGAAAGAAACATTGAAACATCTGTGAATAACCAAACAGGAATATGGGAAGTGAAACCAAATGTGCAGTTTTTATTCATCTGAAGAATGAATAAAAAAGGAATCAGCAAGTCAAATTTAGTCAAAGTACCTGATCTACGCTGGCTGCACATACAGTATGAACATCAACATTTTATTTTAATCCTTTTCTAAGTAAGGTGATCAAGCATACATTACTTCTGACAATTTCACTTTAGTATAAAAAAGAAGAGAAACCCTGACTGGATGAAAATGAAAGCACCCAAATAAAATGTATCCATCTGATACAGCTGAGTTTGTCTAACTAGAATGATGTATCCCACCATTTACAGTGACACAACACAAATTTAGTTTATAAAATAAATAATAATCCCACCATAAAAATGAATCACATCTTTAAAAGGTATAAAAGGTGCTCTAATTACAAGGACAGTTCAATGAGTTAGCAAATGATTCAGTTTTCTTTGCCAATTTTTTGGCTTATGATGAGTGGCAGTCTTGGTTATAGAGAGCAAAGTGGCATTTTAGTTTAGACTGAATAATTGCTTTGTTATAACATTTCAACATTGAAAAGAAAAATCCTTTGGCATTAAACATACTACAAGGAATGTTTAACTGGTTATAAAACAGTATGACCTACATAAGCAAATGAGACTATCATCAAGAAAACTGGCTATTTCTATAAAGTTATTCTAAATGCTTGTCAATGGGTCGGATTCTCCTTGAAATCAATGAAACAAACACAACCGTCTTTGTACACAGGGGCCGCCAGAATCACCAAAAAGTGAAAGTTCATTGTTTCTACTTTAACAGTTTAAGCTATTTAAACTTAACAAATTTGCTGAACTGCTTAGATTAACTATAAACATTGAGTGCTTAATAAAGAACTTCTGAGCCTTGTGGTGTGGCTTTAGGAGACTACTAAGATATTTGTTTTACATTTCCCTTTCCCACAATCTCCTCAGGTACAATAGTTTTATATGTATTAAAAGACGCTGCTGGGATTTGAACCTAGAATCTCCTGGTTACAAGACAGTCACTTTAACCAACTAAGAAACAACCTCAACATAAAGTTTCATAAAAGCAATATACTGAATTAAACCACCATAACCACACTGCTTCGTGTGACAGGAAAAAGCAGGAGTAAAAGCCCAAAGTGTTTGGCTTTTCTCTGGGTTAATCTTAAGTAATGTGCTAAACAGCCATGTTTTATGTTTTAGGGCTTTCGCTGTAACCTCAATAACGAAATACATCGCCATTGGCAAGCCAACCGCAGGGGATGGGAAGCCACCAACACAACCACATACTCATCACTTCATGTTCAGCATTTGTTTTTTAAGACGGGAAAGCGTCCCTGAGCAGCAGGGCTGGAGAGACTCGACACAGCAGAAGCGCTGTCTGAAACACAGTGCTACTCAGTATCCCTCAGTCCACAGCCCAGGATTACAATACCACTCAGCAGAAAGTCACGTAGCCTCTGCCTCACTCGCTCTGGAAAAACTCTTAATTACCGCTAATTATCCCAGTCCGGCTGTTGTGTTTGCGTGACTGATGACTCACCAGTGTTTCTGTTTAACAAGCGACCCTCTTAACTGGGGACTTTCAGTCGAATATGTTCACTAACTGGTCACTTTTTTCGGCTAAAAGTCGCCAGTTAACAGGGTCCCAGACCCAGGAGGCAGCAGGAGGTAAATAAATAAATCACTGCAGGGGAAATTACCTCACTGTGACAGCCCTAGAAACATTATAATGAAATTCTGAACCTTTGGGTCAGGTTTCAGAAGAGTTCTACAGCCGTCTTTGCCCTGCATGGTATGGCTCAGCTCTACTCAACTAGACACACTTTTGGTGCCAGGTACTTTTCTCCATTTTGTTTTCCACTGCAGATATTACCCTCTCAGTGTAGGGGCCTACAGAGGTTTCTTAGCTATTGGTCATAGCAACCGCACGTGAAACTGCTGTGACATGATCAATCCATTGATTCTAGTTTCAGTTTGACATTAATAAATGGAGATGCAACGCAGCGTGGATAGAAGTTGCACTTCACATTTGCCTTCTTGTGAGCCACAGTGTCCTGCAGAAAAGGCACTGCTGGGATTTGAACCCAGGATCTCCTGTTTACTAGACAGGCGCTTTAACCAACTAAGCCACAGCACCACATGGTACCATAAAAGAGAGTATGTATGACGATATAAAATATGTATAAGGTTCACAAACACCATAATGACTGCTGTGATATTGAGGGACAGAGGGACAGACTGTGTTACCTTTGTTGTTGCATGGAAGAGTCTTTTGCTCTGAGTCTGAGTATGTGCATGTACGCAAGTGTGCGTGTGTTGCTGCTGTATTTAAAGTTACTTGACAGACATCCCCAGATGGTAACGATATAGCTATCTGCGAAAAAGAAATGGTCAAACTGCAGGAATTCATGTGCTTGGTTGGCAATGTTGTGAACATTTGATTAGGTAGAGTGAGGGTGAAAAGATGAGCTGCTGTGTACGATGCACAACTCTCAATCAGTGCGGTAAACATGCAGCCAGCACATATTCAGCAAGAGTCCAGCCATTCTTACCTGTGCATAGTCCCTCTCCAGCTGACCCTTCTTCAGACTGTAGCTCCTACAGAGGGAGAAAGAGATAGTTTAAGTATCAGAATACTGTAATATTTTACATGAATAGTTTCTGCACTGTAATAAAAAAGCATAAATGTAATTATTATGTTCAGGCCTTCAGACATCTCAAGAGTGAACTCATTATGCAAAAGAGAAATTAAACATTTTTCTCTTTACAATTCAACAGTTCTTTCTAGAAAAAAGCCCCTCCAGACCCACAAAATGCACAAACCCCGACAAACTTTCACCTTGCCCTCTCTACATCACACAACAACCTGGCAGCAGGGACATGGAAGCTCTTATCACAGCCCAGGAATGTGCAGAATGAAAAACACAACATTAGGTATACGATTACACAGACAGATAAATGTACTGGCTCTGTTATTCTAAATGAACAAAGCAGCATGTACACTGGAGATGACTTCACCAGGTGCACAAACCTTTTATCTGCCTATTCTGACATACATATAATACTACTACTTCTATTTAAATATCATAGTCATCATTATATGTATGTATGTATGTACTATATGAAAAAGTAGGCTCTTCCACACTAGTAACAAAAGTCTAACCCTAACCCTAAAAGTCTGTCTAACCCTAACCCTAAATTATTGTTCATGAGACCAGATCCCAGTTTTAGCTAACTGTTGATATGTCAAGAGTAAATACTGAACTTAAGAGATGTCTGTGTTTGTGTCTGATGTTGTTTGTAGGTATGTCCTTCTGTGTGAGTGGTTATGTTTGTGTTGTGTCCTGTCTCAGACACAGATATTGATCTCAATGAGTCTGCATAGAGTGTAACATGAGTTTAGAGTTTCATGAATTATTACATACATATTGCATTGCATCTCCACAAGCTTGCTGCATTTCAGACTGAAACAAAGCTCTTTATGGTGATATGGGTACAATCGTGCTGGACTGCAGAAAAGGCCCTGTTTTTAGAAGTTAGTTAGAAAGCATTTAATAAATTAAACAAAATTGCGTGCACAATCACTGTAAAACTTGTTTGTAAACAGAAACAAGAGCATGTATCAACAGGAACAGATAGTGTGTTCAGCAATATTCAAACACAATATAAGTCATCAAGGTAAGCAAAGAGGTGACAGGTCAGATGAGAGAGATTTAGCCTTACAAGACTCAAGTTTTGTTGTGTGCGAAGTGAGGGGAAGACATGTGGATGTGGATGGATGAAACAAAAACAACGACTACTGTGGATGGGAGTTGTTTTCACATGTAAATGTTGGTATAGTGGTTTCAGAAATAACCTGATAATTAGTATTCTTTTTGTTTATTCATATGCTGATTTTAAGGACTCACTAGCCCACTTGGGAACAGGGTTTTTGCAGAAGTGACATCTTAGGCCCCATTAACATGCGTCTTGGGTGATCCAATCACAAGTGGACAACTCCAAGGATGTTCACACCTGGTGTGGTAGAATGGATCTCTACATCTGCTTTGTCTGACTCAGATCTCACTTCCCCGCACTATATGCAAATAAACACGTAGAGCATTTCTGTTTGCAAAGACCAAATGTTGCTGTTTTTAACCTGAAACTGATGAAATTTACTATTTATCAGACCACAAATATGAGAACACTAGCAACACTAATATGAGAATTTACGGTATGTTAAGGTAAGAAAAAAAGTGCATCCCAAGACATATATAATAAATTGCATATTTCTACTTGTTTGCGTTTGGGCCACCACAAATGTACTTTGGCCACCAGATTCAGGGTCTTGGTGGCCCATAGGTCCAGTGCTTAAAAATATTAGCAACACTGAAAGTACACCTAGCAAAACCTACTTAATAATGTAAGAAGAAACCGTTTGTTTTGGGGTTTTTTTGACTGCTGGAATCAATAACTGGTTCTCACCCACACTCTAAATATATACCACAACATGAAAGCACAGAACAGTTTCTGCTTAGCCGGTTGTTAAACTAACATGGCTTAAAAAATGTAACGCTGCAACCCCTCTGGCTGTTTTGAAACTGCAGAGGCTCAAGGCCTAAGTGCAAGTATAAATCATCTATTAAAACAGCATATATATATATTATTATTAATATATGCAGTCCAAGGATATATCCTACGTATAATGTATGTACTTTTTTTTTTTTTTTTACTATAGTACTAAATGTTATTGTAACATCAACTCACCAAACCAGTGCTGTTTAAAATAAACTTCATACACTAGACTGTGTGAGGGAACAGCTACAATCGAGCAGTGGGGGAACATACAGAGAGGAAGACAACACTTACTGTAAGCGTAGACAGCATAATTACTGCCAAATCTCTCTATGCTAATTACAGCCCAAACAAATAGGGCAGTGCTTCTTGTCAAATGTTTCCCAAGGCATCATTTTGTGTTAAACCTGCTGGGTGCCGTCTGTTTTCTAAACAGAGGCTGCTTTCGATTTCAGGGTTTCATAGCTAAAAAGGAGACAGAGAAATTCTTAATGACTGAACCGGCCTTTTAAATCCTGCACAGAGAGGCGCACGCGAAACTGCAATAATTCCAACTGTCAAAGGTCCACTGCGAGACGCTGGAGCACGTGTTTAGTGTTTAACTCCACCCCAGTGCATGTCAGTTGAAGTACTACACACTCCCTCCCCCGATCCCACAGACACGTCTACCCCCACCCTTCGGTATTGAGTCTGTGGTCTAAACTACACATGCTCAGACAGCACTGCAGGCCTCGTTGGCGCAGTAGGCAGCGCGTCAGTCTCATAATCTGAAGGTCGTGAGTTCGAGCCTCACACGGGGCATGTGTTTTGAAATCCATTTGAAAACCAGTGCTGGCTGAACTAACAGCGAGAACACCAAAAACCTGCCCATGTGACGTCTGCTAGTACTTTCCAAACCTAAAAACAAGTCTGTAAATGCATTAAACTGGAGAAGAAATCTGTAATTACATTCCTAATAGTTACATTAATATGACAGATAGGAAATAATTGTGTATAATCCCAAAATTAATGTGATCTCTCACATCAAAATGAGCTAAATCCTCATTCGCAACATGACACTTGATGATCAAGACGTTAGTGTACATGAAAACTCTCTTGATTCAGAGCACTGAAGCTCTCTTTTCTCTTGCGGTTGGACAGATGTGTGTACTCTGTTCCAAACTAAACTTGATTGGCAGTGACAGCCGTTTTTATCCGCCATGTCAGTACCAACGTACTGCAACACAAAGCCCTGACAAACAGCTCTGTTGTTGCCACATGTGTGGAACAGAAATATGCACTGCTTCACAGATTATCCATATTTGATATATATACAAAACATTACACATTTTATAAACGTATATGTTTCCATCTTCAAGGTGCTTCAATGTCCACTTTCTAAAGAAAAATGATATGTATGCAACTACAGTGACTAATGAGCAGCTCAGCTGTGCCACATCTGTATGCCATCAGTGAGATAAAAGAGAAAGGGGTTTACTGAATAAATGATGACACCTCTTTACCAGAAATTATCATTTGTTGTTCTAAAAATACATCTACCGAACTTACATCATTATTCTCAAGTCATAGCGGTAAGTGGTCTCTGTTGTCCAGAGTTGTCCCATAAGTGTATTCTCATAAATATAGGGCATGCATTGTGGTTACAAATCAGGTGCTGTAGAGACACCAACACTAAAGTAGCCGACTAACATCAGCCTTTAGGATGAGAAGGCACTTCCGGGATTCAAACCCAGGATCTCCTGTTTACGAGACAGGCACTTTAACCAACTAAGCCACAGCACCATGTAGTTCCTGTTCCTATGACAATATGACTATCTTTTGTTGAAGTATGACAACTCATCAAAGTTTAACAGTTTGAATATTAAAAAAATGTAAACCTTTAACACCTTAAGTAAAGAAAACTCTTCCTAACGGAGACACTGCTGGGATTTGAAGCCAGGAACTGTTATAATTTTTTTATAAATAAATTCATCATTTAGTCAATGCCTATCATGATTTCAAAGAGGCCAATGTAATTTATTCAAAATGTGCTTATTTATTGGAATAATTCCTGATAAAACCCAAAGATATTCATTTATAATGATATTAAACCAGGAAAGCATAAAATCTTCACTTTTGAGAAGTTGGAACGAGCAAATGTTTGGCATTTCTGTTTGATCAATGAAATCCCTTGTTTCCCTTGAGGGTAGCATGGCGATATCTCAGATTGAAGATGGTTCCAAAGTAATATCAATTGACTATGCAAACACTGGGATATTAGGATAACTTTGGAGTAATTTCAATTCACCACTTTTGTTTGGAATGACACATATTTTGCTCTGTGTAATTCACAACTAGAGCCTTTATCTTTCAAGTTGTTATACAAGATCTGTTTTCTTTGAAAAGGCACTGCTGGGATCGAAACCCAGGATCTCCCGTTTACTAGACAGGCACCAACTAAGCCGCCTGGTGCAATGACAAGGTTTCGAGCTCACTTGGCAAAATCTTCTTTTACTTCCTAAAGAATGTCAATTTGTCAAAGTTTGCCAATGGGATATCTTCAAAATGTTTATTTATTGTAATAATACATTATAAAACCCAAATATATTAATTTATAATGATATTAAACCAGTAAAGCATTAAATTGTTTACACTTTTAAGAAGTTGGAAGCAGCAAATGTTTGACATTTTTGATTGATGAATGATATCATGTATGGCAATATCGCAGACTGAAGATACAATATGAATTGACTATGCGAAATCATGGAACTTCGGAAATGTTTGTGTACTTCATTTGTTAGAAGAAGGTAACTCTGGAGCGATTTCAATTTACCACATTAGTTTGAAACGACACAAACGTTGAAACAAGATCTGTTTCCTTTGAAAAGGCACTGCTGGGATTTGAACCCAGGATCTCCTGTTTACTAGACAGGCGCTTTAACCAACTAAGCCACAGCGCCTACCAACAACACACGCCTGGTGCCAAGGAAAAAATATTACGAAAGTGTGCTGGCAGCCTTTTCATCAGAAATCAGATTCATTATCTATTGAAGACTTATTTAGAA